ATGGGGAAAAATGAGGAAGTCAGTCCAATACAAGAAAAGTGCCATTTCCCTTTGGATATGTAATTCTAAAAATTTTTGAACTTTTAGGTGAGATTTTTACGATTGTTAGGAGTTATATTTTTTTCTCGTGTAGGGGATCATGTTTAAATTTATTATGAAATATAATAAGAAATAGACACATAAACATTTATTTCAGTAACAACTCTTTTGAAAAGTAGAATCATGGGTTAAATGTTTGTTAATGGTGTTGTGGCAATTTTGGAATCTGAAAAGGAAGAAGTGATTAAAATGCAGATGCTATAAATTATATTGAATTAAAAATTCCCTTGCATGTAGTTTCTTTTTCTTCTTTTCTCCTTCTTTTTCCTCTTCCTTTTTTTTTTTTTCTGACAGTAAGAGTCAGATTTAGGGCGTTGTCCTGAAACTTCAAAATCTCTTTCTGTCAGTTTCTTAATAACAATCAACAGAATGCAATTTACATCATCTTAAAAAAATACATTGCACGAAGGTTGAAGTGTAGAAACTGTTACATCAACAGATTAGCATTTTCCACTCAGCAGTCATAATTCTTCCATCAACCCGCCATGACCTAAATTAGCGAGGAATGGAGGTGCCGAGCTGTCTAGGATCGGAAATTAGTAAATATGGCAAGAAAAGAGTGAGTTAGGGCTCTGTCATTTTTTAAAGCAGAAATGTCTTTGGACTCTTCCTAGAGGCTGGACTGTTGATGGGAACACCAAGAGGGAAGTGCCATTCTTGGCGCCCCTGGGAGATTTTGACAGTCGTCATTTACTGAGTAGATCAGTTTTGTAACTGATAGAAAGCCACCATGAGCAGCAGTTCCTGGTGGCTGACTGAGAAGATGGTCTCCTATCCTTAGGGCTACCCTGTCTGGCACATGGTTCCCACTGTGGAACAGGGCAGTGGGGACAGGCCCTGAGACACTGCTCCCAAAATCTCAGAGTAACTTTGATTGCAGGTTCCTGAACGATAGTAAAAACATTTGCAAATACAGTGTGAAATTTGGAGGTAGTCATATATATATCAATTTTTACTCTTTCCATAGTCTTGCTTCCTACGAGTTCTTTTGAAAAGCATGTTCTTATCCTGCATGGCAAGAGTTTTCAGAACAGGGAAAGGAACATAAATGCCTTTTGCAGGCAAGCAGAAATAGACAAGACAGGCTGTCGGGTTGAAGGAACACTCACCCGTAAAGGTGCTTCTCACATTGGGATATTTATTACTTTAGTTCCTGGTCACAACCGAGTCTTCTCCCAAGCACTGGCTGTTTTTACTGTGGCGAGTGTCTAAACTCTGGGACGGGGACTGATTCCAAAGCTGACTGTGCCTCCATAGCATTTCTGGGAGCACGTCGGTTTCTCCCTGCACTTCCGGGCTGGCTCAGGACCTCGCCTACATGGCGTCCCAGTTACACTACTTCAGTGCTGACTGTCGCGGCTGACTTCTAAGTCACTTGCCCCGTGTTTTCCAGAGGTGCCGTGTAGTGTTACCCAGCTTGCCGCTTCATTCCAAGCTCCCTTTTCCTTTCTCTCCCTTGGACCACCTAGTGACCCAGAGCCCCATATTCCTGAATTAATGCTAATGAACTATTTCCCACATAAAGGGTTATTTTCCCAGAGGTCACGATCTCCTTGAGGACTTCTATATCACCCCAGTGCCTGGCTACCTAATGGTTATCACATGATCTAGAAAGTTCTTCAAGTTACAAATAAAAGAAATTTAAAAGGAATCCAGCTT